TTGTGCAGGAAGCCAGGAACATTCGTATGCTACCAGTGATCGTACAATGCAGTCAGTTCAACACCATTGGTCAGTAACATGTTCCTGCCATCCAATTCTAGTTATTTTTTTAAATGTTATGAACAATAAACTATTAAGGGGAAATTTGATGTGATAATACGGAGAACCTTTTAATAGGAACTTGATATTTGATATTTTGTGCTTTTCTTTTTTACTCATCATCATGTATAAAGTTTCTGGAATTCGGTAGTTACATGGTTTATCATTAAGGCTATAAGAAGAGTGTTTTAATAGACTCCATTATTTTGCAAACTGCGTTAGCTTGGTGGACAAATTTAATTGTAGAAGTCAGAAAGAAAAGAAAGAGAAGAAGGAGAAAGAAAAATCCGAAGAAGAAAGAAGACAAAGAAAGTGCTATGGTGATATCTTTATGATTTCTTCTACTTTGAAGTGTTTGTGTTTATATGGGCCAATTATACAAATTTAGCTATTCAATTAAAAGAGGTATTGGCTTAAAGGCTCTCCTATTTTTAACCAATACAATTAGAGTGTGATAATTTCTCACTTTAATTTGTTCTTCCTACATTTCTGATTTCGTTATTCTGTGCTCTGTATTCAAGTATAAAGAACTGTTATTTCTTTGTTCTCTGTGTTTACGTATAAAGAAACTATAGAATTTGTTTGGTCTATCTGGATTTATATTTGACTTGATGCTGGTAACCCAAGCATGTGGGATTTCATGTTGCAGTTTCTCATTCTGTGAGAGTGCTGTTTTTTGCAGGTATACAGATTCATGTTTTTTGCAGTGTCTGGGAAGTGCTTTTTCTTTTGCCAGAAGTTGGCTGGAGTGATGTGGTGCTTGTTGAGTTTGTTGATAGGAGCTGCGGGAAGTTTGCTGCCCTACTTCGGTGTGATTCTGGGACATTTTCTGCAGATTTTGTTGCTGTAGTGTTGTGTTTGCTGGGAGTGATGCTGGGCATGTTGGAGAAGCGTAGCAGAAAAATGCATTTGGCCAAAAAATTGCAGAAGAAACCTGCAGGGGGAGAGTGCTGCATTTTATGCAGTTTTTCTTTTTGTTGATGCAGCAAAATGTGCGTTGTTCTGTAGTTGTTTTGCAGAAAATGCAGTGTTTGCCTACTGGTGTTAAGTTTTGTTTAATTGATTGTTGTCTTCAAATGGACAAGTTTTGTTGTTTGTTAATTTATAAATTCACTCAGATATACTACACAATAATCTGTATTTTGAATATATTATTGTACATGATAAATAGACAGTAGGTATTTGCAGCTTCCTTATTATCTTTGTTTTATGTTGTTTTAGAACTCATTCACGCTAATCTCAAATGTAGATACAAAATACTGTTTGTCAAAGGTGGCTTGATGGTGATGAGTTATTATATCATCAATGAAGGAAGTTGCAATAATATTCACAATTTTTGCAATAAAACAAAAAAAAATTAAATAACTTCTGGCTACTATTCATAAGCAATTAATCAAAACAGAAGAAATCAACCTTCAAAATATTCACATAATGAACAAAAAAATTGCTATTCCTAAGCAATTAATCAAATATGAGAAATAAACAAACATCAAAAATGTACACATTCTTTCAGCTTCCTTTCCACATTTTCTCACCCTCCCTGTCTCTCGTTCAATAACCAGACACAACACCTCCTAAATCACAAACCATCCAATAAAGAAAAAAATAAACTTAAAAAAGCAAAACTAGAACGTTTATACTATCATTAACATATTTATTATAGTAATTATCAAAAAATTTCGTTTTGATTGCTTCAAAGCCTAAACCAACGCTTCATTGAGCAAAGGGTTCGAATCTGTAACTTATTGAGCATTGATGTCAAAATCTTTACCACACCTAATGAAAAAGAGTAACCATCAAACTCTAATCCTAGGATAATATTCGAGCATATTTAGTGTAAGTTTTACAATGCACGGAGCAAAAAATTGCTAGATGCAGTTCAAAATAGTTAAATAATTTGGAAGTGCCATATGACAAGATAAACACAGATGTAGAACTTTTATCCAACCAAAAGAAAATGCATAATTATACACAGAACTAATGAATCTAATACGCCACAAAGAACTCAACGAAAATGTAGTTGAATCTTCATTATAGAATATGAAGGTATTAAGGTAGCCAACTTCACTATAGAATATTTTTAAGACCACCAAAAATAAATGTCGTTTCCAAAGTTGTTGATGCACTACAAGAAAAGAAAAGAGTATTAAGGTAGCCAATCTTCATTATAGAATTTTTTAATAACCCATATCATATAAATATCAAAGATATCAAGAAGAACTGCAACTGAATCTAACACAAACCAATATAAACATAACTCTGCAAATCAATTGCAGAGATTTAAAGATTAACATTTAGACCGTACCTTGCAAAAGAAAACATAATACAGAAAGTAGCATACATTAGCAGAGGTATTACAACTCTGAAATTCAATTAAATCCATGACCTTGCACAGCCGAAACTTATTGAAAGAAAATCAAGATGATTGAGTTAGACATCAGGAAAACCAACTAATCCATACTAATCATGCATTATTTAATTTTTCGCAGATTAATCACAAATCTACTTCATTTCGTTGCATAGCAATCCCCCCAGCTTCCAGAATTTGTTTCTCAAGCTACAAATCAACATAAGTAGACCAATAAATCTAGAGAAGATGCAGTATTTTCAAAACAAAAACATACACACAGGCTACAACCTGGAGCTGCCCAGAAACCACCCCAAGCAAAAATATGGCAAGCAGTAACGAAACCACACCAAGCAGTACATGTATTTGTGTCATGGGAAACAAATGGAGATAAATTGAAAGAAAAACTAAAAACCGTAAGACCTGGAGTTGCTGCCCTTCAGCTGATGACCGTGAGCATCCAACTTCCTGAAACTCAAGTTCTTTTAATCCCTGTGCAAGATACAACAACAAATCAACTGTTTTGTATAGTTCAGTTAAGTGATGGTTTATGACTGTTAGCTATGAATACACATAAATTTACGATAACTAACTCAAGCTTTAAACATCTATTAGGACACAAAACTCAAGGGCTACTCCCTTCTCCACAAATAAATTTCCTTGAAGACTATCATAAACTCTCAAATTTCATGTATTTATCAAAAACTTCCTTTCCAATCGACTAAATATGTCGTAATTGAACCAACTCTCCACGTGTTTCTTTCATAATCAAAATAAAACCAAAAAAAGCTATAGAACAATCTAGAAAACAAACACAAATCGCACGCATTAACGATTATTTTCAATTTTCATCAAACAAAAAGAAGAAGAGAGAATTTGATTACTTTTTCTCGCGTGGAGAAGCGTTTTTGAGAGAAATTGCGAGAAATCGGAAGGAAATTGCCACTGAAATTGAGATGAATGAGTCGTCAGAAATTAGAGGGGAGAATCGGAATCGGTGAGTGGAGTTCGAGGAAGAGTGAAGAAGGAACAGAGAGTGTTGGTGAAAGCCATGGAAGAAAACTTGAGAGAATGGAAGGAAATGTTTTTGGTTTCGTTTGTGTTTTGGCTTTTCGAGTGAGTTGAAGAGAACTGAGGTTCTTCTTGGTAGACGATAGCCGGCGGTGGTGGTGGTAGACAACAGACAACGGCAGTTCAAATTTGATTTAGGGGAAGGAGAGCAATTTCAATTTTAGGAGAGATTTTTATCTAGGGGAAGAAGAGTTTGAATTTGGGGAAAGACATCATATTCGGGGGAATGGAATTTGAATTTTTTCAGAACCCTTTTTTTTTTTGGGAGGTGAGGTGTTAGCTCGCTTGATTGCTCAATAGCTGCTCTGCATTTCAAACACATCTTCATAACCTTCAGTGTGTCAATCGGAACTGTTAATCCTCAACTACTACACAAACTCAAGATAGGAACTTCACTTCAGTAAACCAACGTACCAGCTTCAGTTTATCAACAGCTCCACCTTATCTACTACACAAAACTCAATGAAAGGAACTTCACTCAGTAAACCATCAGCAACAGCTTAAAAGATTTCACTTCAGTAAACCAAACAGTATCAGCTTCAGTTTATCGACAGCTCAATTCTGCTTCAATATGCCAACAACAACAATAGCAAATTATCAAACTTTCACTTCAATTTTAATCTATTAACAACTTTCACTCGTTTTAATCTCAGCTGCTAACCACAAACTCAATCTCAACTACTACAGAAACTCCAAAAAAAAAAAAAAAAAAAACAACATCACTTCAGTATACAACAGCAACAACTTCAAGAACTTCACCTCAGTATAGTAACAGCAACAACTCAATGAAGCTACTGGTCACAACTCCAATTAACAGATTATTCATGCACAACTTCAATTGTGGAGAGCGGTCAAAGGTTAGAATGAATTAGTTCAAGAGGCTTGGAAGCTCCACTAGAAGAATATGGAGAAATAGATGTGCAATCTACCAATTTGACATGCTAAGCAAAATGGCAAAGACTTAACAAGGTTTATTTGCATTAATTGTGCAAACACAGTGCTCAAAACTTGTTCATTGTGGAGTCCAAGTCTCTTATGTCATAGCATTGCTTTAATTGTCAGTACACAAAGCTTGACGGATAAAAACATAGTTTTACCGATAGAACAATTAAGTGCAGATGAAATACATGGAGCTGTATTGAAAACAACTTAAGCTCCTATGTAACAACACAACCCAGTTTATCTTTACGCTTATTTGTAATATCACCAGCGAGACTAACAATAAGAATTTAAACAATAAAAAAAATACCATAGTTGCATTGTTGTTCTCAACTTGTTGGTGTTGTTTGGTTGTGGTTATCTTCACTGCCTTATCTTCTTCAAAACCAAGCTTTTCACCATTTTTGAGTCATTTGATACTTCTAAATCAACTATTGCAGAGAGAAATAGAACTCAAATATAGACACAGAAATGTAACATTAGACAGACAGTCAAGTCTTAATTGTAAAGAGGAAGAATGTATGGTCCAGAAATATACGTCTAAATCAACAGATTCTCCAGCTTTTCCATTAGTCTTGCCATTGTCATGGTCTTGCTTGGCCTTCTTTGGAGATTGCTCAAAAGAATCCTAAAAGCTTGCACTGTCACATTGGAACGTCATTAAGTGATAAATAAATGAGTCATTCAAAATGGTATAAGAAATTTATTCAGCTACCTCAGAGATTCAAAATTTCAGAGAGATGAGTTGACACATGTACAAATAAATAAACAAATAGTGACAAAGAAAGAACCCTAATTCAAACTTATAATAATACCTACAAATTCCAAAGTTTAACAATCCACAAATAAAAATCTGAATTTGATTGAATGAAAATCACAACATTAAAATATAAATAAAATATACAGCTCACCTCAAGATGATAAGCTGCTTCAGAAGTCAACCCAACCGTGGCGACAGCTATCAATCCTCCCTACAGAGCACAACAAACATCCTAAATATAATGAAAATAAGACCTTATATATACAGTACGTAAACAGTGAGTAATAGCAGGACTTGTACCAAAATTAACATCATCTGTCATTCCAGTTACTGAATGTCATAACTCATATTTTCATATGAATTTCAAACTTCTTCTAGCTAATAATTCTGTATTTTCCACTATAAATTACAAATTTAAAGTTAAATTTGGGCATGCATAATCCTGTAATTCATAAGCATATAATATTGTACTTTACTAAAACCTCCACATAGCAATTAAATTAAAATTAAAGCATGAGAATTGAGAGTGCGACCTTCCAATCCCCAGGAAAATATCACACTTTTCTTCTCGCTATCTGGTAAAACCACAATCACTTCAATCAAATCAGAAAACTCACAACACGCTTATAAGTCTCAAAAGACTAAACAAAAATATGAGATTCTAGTACCAAGCAGAAGGGCCACTAAAGAAGAATAAATGGCAATAGATCAATACAAAATGCCTATCACAAAAATTTGCACAACTACCAACCTTCATTACTATCACGTTTAAAACAAAAAACAAATAATCAATGAAACCCACACAATTATCAGAATCACAATCACGAAATAATTATTGGTTTGGAGATATCATAATAGTAGTACACTCCCGGCTGAGTTAATAACCTGGGCATTGCAATAGTACAAAAAGCAGATATAAAAATGTAAAAGTATAAAAAACCCAACCCCAACAAACCAAATTTGATTAATTCATTACCTTTTGAGGCGTATCATCTCATCATCCGGTTCGAAACATTGAAACATCAACAAAAGAGACAGCTCATTAATTGTTAACATGCACGCTATATTGAAATAAAACAGAATTCCAATTTTAGAAGCCAAAATAGTTACCTTTTTCAGGCTCCAGATTCTGATCTTCATACCGCAACATCAATAGTAAAATTATCAGGTGATGTTGCTTGTGCCACATCAGTTTTAGTAACAACGGGCGTGGTCTCTAGATCAGGCGTGAAAACTCTTGGGAGCTGAAAAATAAAAACCTAAAAGTAGACTGAATCTCCAACTGGGAAGATGAAATTTCTCTGCACCTTGGTGGCAAAATGTGAGAGAGAGCGAAACTGACTTTGGGCTTCATATTCCACATGTCACTAGGGATGTTCAAAACCATTTGGACACATCTCAATATTTCTCACGTCTTAAAGTTGAAGTGCAGTCGGTTAAATCTCCTCATTACTATTTCTATTAACAATTCAGGTGGATCGAACTTAGAATCTCTTAAATAATACACACAAGAGTTCTAATTGACATTGACACACAGTAGTGGTCAGATTGAAATATATTACTTCAACTAAATACCTATTTAGTAAATACGGGTACGACAAAAAAAGGTACGAGAATTTTACGAGTATAATATGGCAAACGGTAAAAAATACGTTGATAAATTCGGCCATAAAATTCAGATACGAAAAATGTACAGGTGTATATGGGTTTAATACGATATTGTCAATAATACGTTTTGAAAAATACGCCAATATCAATCTTAATTTTAACACTTTTATAATTTAACACTTTTAGGAATACTGATAAATACTATATTGGACTCCATTTCTATAAAGTGTGTGTTTAAGAAGTAAACATTCAATTTTAATATAAAATTATAAACCTTTTTATAAATATTTAAGTTAATACGGCAAGAGCCGTAAATGAGAAACTATCATTTTTATTATATTATTTTTTATTGATCTAAAGTTATAATTTTGTAGTAGAAGGTGACATCATGAATTTATATAGTATTTTTAGATATAAGGTATCATCAATCCTGAAACAAAAGATTTGAACTGTGGAGTATGTCGAATTTGTTTTTAATATATTAATTAATCAATTAAAATGAGTGATAATAACAAATGTAAGGAAGATCTAAAAGAAGTAGAAAAGTTTGTTGTTGTGAAACCTCCGTATAGATCTCTCCACGTAGCACATGGAACCGACCCCACCATCCAGTTTTGCAATTCTGAAAACTTCACCAGTTCGCCACCATTTGCCTTTTGCCTCTAGCCTTTGCTGCTGTTTGTATTTCCCCCAAAATCAAAACCCATCGTCACCATTTCCTTGATGCAAACACATTAAAATCTAAATCTCAATCTCGTTCTCTTCGTCTTAGAGGGTGTGATGGCAAGAACCAACAAGCACACCTCCTCAACTTCAATCACGTGCTCGAAAAAAATATCTCTCTGCCACCTTTGCCACCAACTCAACTAGACAACCTTCCTCTCCTCTTCTTATTCTTCGATTGCTTCTTCAAATACTAGTAACAAGCTGTTACCTTCCTCCAGAGCCATGGCCGCATGCTTGTTTGCGAATTACAAAGCTCAGTTTGTTTTTTGTTTTTTTTTTTCAATAATCAATAATTCACGAATTATACGCATCTTTATATTATACACGTATAATAACAGTCTTTATAAAATACGAAAATGTGTGTTTTATGTGATATATGGCTAACCATATAATTCACATATAAAATATATCTAAATAATCTTATTTCTAGTTAGTAAAATGCGTATTTACTAACTAAGCTTAAATATATCTTATTTCTCTTACAAAATTAGTGTTGTAACAAAAGTTACCCACAATTTATCGTCATCTAAAATAATTACGATTGATTTGTAAATTAGAATATTTATTCCAATATTTAGAAGAAGAAAAAAAAAAAACTATTTTCAAGAATTTTGTTACATAATTTCTAGTTTCTCTTTGAAAGAAACATGTTACAAGAAATACTTTTTCTTAATCTTCGCCCATCAAAGCTTATTTGAAGTCCATCCAATAAATCTTTATCACAATCTCTTTCTAGTCTTTTCAATGCACCGTATAGAACTTTTCTTCCTGAATAAAAAAAAGGCCCAAAACTTGAAGACCTAATAGAAGACCATTAGGATACTGTGCAACACATTTGGATAGCTCCCTAAATTTTATGAAGGCTTTTTGACTAATGTGGACAATATATTAACCATAAAGATCAACTAATAATAATGATAAAAAAAAGAAAACCTATATATTTTTTTTTTAATAATACTACACCAACAATCCCCTCTCACAACCAGACATGGCAGTTTATAATTGATTAATTCACAACGGATCCCACTAATAATTGCGAGGCAACATCAGGGTTGTAAAGAGAAGTTTGTGAAAAAAGGTTGTTGATATAGTATTATTCATTTTTTTTTTTTTTTTGTCTATTTTGTGAAAGAATACTTTGCACTTACATACATCACAATAAAATGTACAATGAATTTATAGCAAAAACAAAAGCCTAATCTATGGTAAATTGTTACATTCCTATTAAACTGATCTAATTTTAATACTTTGATCCTAACCTAATATAGAAGATAGTCTTTAATGAGAAAATTTATTTCTATTTTACAATGAGAATAATCATATTTCCTATTTTACACTTCAATATTCCCCCTCAAGTTGGAGCATTAGTCATATGCACCAAGCTTGTTACCAATAAAGTCAACACGAGAACCCTTGAGAGAATTAGTGAGGATGTCTGCTAACTGGTCGTTGGAACTGACATAACTAGTTGCAATACACCCTGATAGAACTTTCTCTCGAACAAAGTGACAATCAATTTCTAGTGTGATTTAGTCATCATGAAACACTGGATTTGAAGCATATGAAGGGCAGCTGATTATCACAGAGTAACTTCATTTGTGGTACTTCAACAAATCTCAACTCTTGAATTAGTTGTTTTAACCAAACAAGCTCACAAGTGGCTAAAGCCATTGCACGATACTCTGCTTCAACACTTGACCTTGCAACAACTGCTTGTTTCTTACTTTCCATGAAACTAGGTTTCCTCCAATAACACAAAATCCTGAGTAGAACGTCTATCAGATGAAGAACCTGCCCAATCAGCATTGAATATCCGACAATATGTGAATGGCCCTTATTTTCATACATTAAGCCTCTACCTGGTGCTCCCTTGATATACCTTAAAATCTGGACAACGCATCCCAATGACTATCACATGGAGTTTGAAGGAACTGACTTACAACACTGATAGAAAAGGAATATCAGTCGTGTGATGTGAAGATAGTTAAGTTTTCCAACAAGTCTTCGATACCTTCCAGATCAGTAAGAGGCTCCCCCTGTCCAGGTGAAAGTTTTAAATAGGATACATAGGAGAGTCTATTGGTCTGCAATCTGACATCCCTGTTTCCTCTAGAATATCTAGTACATACTTCCTTTGAGAAATAACAATACTGGATTTGGACTGAGTGACTTCTGTGCCAAGAAAATATTTGAGTAGCCCTAAGTCTTTCGTTTGAAAGTGTTTCAACAAATGTTGCTTCAACTGTCCAATGCCATCTTGATCACTTCCTGTAATAATAATATCATCGACATAGACAACCAGATAGATACATTGCCCTGATGATGTATGTCTATAGAAAATAGAGTGATCAGACTCACATCGAATCGTACCAAACTCTTGGATAACTGTGCTAAATCGTCCAAACCAAGCACGAGGAGACTGTTTTAGGTCATATAGAGAACGACGAAGTTTACATACCAAACCAGACTCCCCCTGAGCAACAAATCCAGGAGGTTGCTCCATATAAATATCTTCCTGAAGTTTACCATGAAGAAAAGCATTCTTAATATCCAATTGATGCATAGGCCAGTGTCGAATAGCAGCCATAGCAAAGAACAACCGGACAGAAGACATCTTAGCAATAGGAGAAAAAGTGTCAAAATAATCTGTGCCATAGATCTGAGTGTATCCCTTGGCCACCAAACGGGCTTTCAACTGATCAACTTTACCATCTAGACCAACCTTTACAGTGTAAATCCATCGACAACCAACAGTCGAATGACCTGGAGGTAAGGAAACTAACTCTCAAGTATGATTATGATGCAAAGCAGATATTTCTTCAACCATTGCCTGACGCCACTCGGGGTGAGAAAGTGCCTCATGAACAGTGCAAGGAATAGAAACAGAAGAAATGGTGGATACAAAGGCATAATATGAAGGATATAAACGATGATAACTCAAAAAATTGTAGATGGGATGAGGGTTGCGTGTAGACCGCATACCTTTACGAATAACAATGGGAAAATGATCAACTTGAGACAAGACCGTGGCATTGGAGGAATTGAGCACAGGACCTGCAGTGACAGGGGTCTCAGGAACAATAGCAGGAACATCAGGATCACCTGCAAAAGGAACAAGACTATTGTGGACAGGAAGAGTGGTATTAGTACTAGACTAAGGTACCAAAACAGATGAAGGTGGGAAAGCAATGTATGGAATTGGTAGGACATCTACTATCGGATCAGACTCTAATGTAGGATGAGAAAAAAATGGAGAAGACTCAAAGAATGTAACATCAGTAGAGATGAAGTAGTGATGTATGGCGGGAGAATAACACTTGTAGCCCTTCTGAAGACGTAAATACCCTAAGAAAATACACTTCGTAGACTTGGCTGACAAT